GCTGGTCTCCTCTATGACTCTTTGCATCAATCAGCCTTTTGAGTATCGGGTTTTCTAAGCCCCCCTTCCTAATTACGTACCCCAGAAGTTTTACTCCCTCATTCTGACGTTAAGTACAAGTTTACTTTTTGTTTCCATTTTCTCAAAAACCTCGTTTTGACCACATGTTAGGTTTATGGTATCACCAGCATCTTTCAATAGAACCACATTTCTGTTTTTTCAAAACTGATATTCATCTTTGAGGATATTTTGCAACATTTGCTGCCATATAGGAGGACACAGCTGCCTTAAAAACAGAATTTGAAATTTTGCTTTATATATTATACCTGGAACATCTACCTCCAGATCTGAGCTACAGAACTTTACCATATATCAAATAATATAGATGACTTTGTGTTAATATAAGTAAATAATATATTGGTAAGATATATAAGAATTATATATCAACCTTTTTGTTATATGTTTTCTGGAAATGTTGTCTGTTTGCGTAAATTTTGTCCCATATTAATTTGTTTGTGCTTCGCAAGTATCAAAGAGCCGATTTATTTTCTTAGCCGTTTTCATATTAATCAGCCTATTCTTGTTGTTTTCTTTTTCACAGAGTTACAAATTTTCTTTACTTTCAAGAAGATAATTACGAAGACACAGAAGCCTCGACCAAAACTTGTCAAATTATAAGACTTAAACCTGTCGTATCTACAGCTCTGATATTTTGCAAATCCCCTTACCCGACATTTTCACAAGACTCTCCAGTGCATGTCGTCTGCTTAATCAGTACGATTTCTTGACGTTTCCGCCAAATACTAAAAGCAGTTGTCTCCCTTGGTAGTTAATTAAACTTTATCGTTCTGGCTAATTCACATTCACTACCGATGATTATGTTTTGTTTTTTTGTTTTTCACTGTTGACTTTTTGTAAAAGTGCGCGTGTTTTTTTAGTATATTTTAAACGTCGCACTTTTCTTGCCAACGGAGAGAATATAATTTGTTCTTTTGTGCACTCCACTAAAAAATAATACGAAAATGTTTTATCACTGAACAGCAGCTAAGAGTAATTGCCTAATCTAAAAACATATGAATATGAAATGAACGTTTGGTTTATATTCAGTGCATTGAAAATAACTTATTAAGAGAATGTTTGCGACGAAAATACACTCAATTACTTCGCTTTTTATTCTTCTCTGGATTATTTCTTCGTTTGAGACAACGTACAAATTGTCACAATCTTATTTAGCGCATAATTTAGACTTTTAAAAGTTCAGAAGATAATTATGCAACGTCATGGTTATCAATTCTACATCACTTTATTTGTTTGTTTGTCTGTTCAGCGACATAACAACTCCTCATGGGTTATTTAATGCCGAAATTTAATTTTTTTGGAATCATTAGTAATTTTATACAAAAATATATTGTTCGTAATATTTTTTTATTTATAAAAATATATTGCGGGTAATTTATATATATATATATATATATATATATATATATATATATATATATATATATATATTTATTCTGATATTTTTCTTTTCTCTTAGAAAAGTGTATTGCTGTTATTTTTCTTTTCTTACACAAAAATATATTACTGGTATTTTTCTTTTTTTAAAAATTGTATTGCTTGTATTTTTTCTTTTTTATAAAAATGCATTGCTGTTTTTTTTTCTTTTCTCTTAATGTTTTTCTGGTATTCTTTTCTTTTGTTATGAAAATGTATTGCTGTTTTTTTTGTGTTTTTTTTTTGTAAAATGTATTGCTGGTATTTTTCTTTTTTATAAAAATATGTTGCCGGTATTTTTTCTTTTCTTTTACAAAATGTATTGCAGTTATTTTTTCTTTCATTTTACAAAAATGTATTGCTGGTATTTTTTGTTTTTTATAAAGATGTATTGCTGATTTTTTCTTTTATTTACAAAAATGTATCACTGGTATTTTTCTTTACTTTTACAAAAATGTATAGCTGGGATTTTTTGTTTTTTATAAAGATGTATTGCTGATTTTTTCTTTTTTATAAAAATGTATCGCTGGTATTTTTCTTTACTTTTATAAATGTGTATTACTGGTATTTTTTTCTTTTTTAGGAAATGTATTTCTGTGATTTATATAAAAATGTATTGCTGGTATCTTTTTCTTTTTTATAAAATGTATTGCTGTGATTTATATAAAAATGTATTGCTGGTATTTTTTTCTTTTTTAGAAAATGTATTGCTGTGATTTATATAAAAATGTATTGCTGGTATTTTTTTCTTTTTTAGAAAATGTATTGCTGTGATTTATATAAAAATGTATTGATGGTATTTTTCTTTTGCAAAAATGTATTGCTGTCATTTTTCTTTTTTTGTAAAATGTATTGCTGTTATTTTTCTTTTTATAAAAATGTGTTGCTAGTATTTTTTCTTTTCCTTTACAAAAGTTTATTGCTGGTATTTTTTCTTTTCTATAAAAATGTATTGTTGGTATTTTTTCTTTTCTTTTACAAAAATGTATTACCGGTATTTATTTTTTTTTTACAAACATGTATTGCTGGTATTTTTTTCTTTTTTAAAAATAAATGTATTGCTCGCATTTTTTCTTTTCTTTTACAAAAAAGTATTGTTGGTGTTTTTTTTTTCTTTTTATAAAATGCGATTTGCAGCTCGGGAACACTAGAATCAAGCAGACGCGGAAGTTTAAATATCTGGGAAGCATCTTGACAGAAGACGGTAAGTTCGACACCGAGATCCGTAGACGTATTGGAATGGCCAAGGACACATTCCAAAAGCTGGGTAGAGTATTGCGGGACAGGAGGATTTCTTTGGTAACGAAGAAAAGAATACTGAACTGTTACGTGACATCTGTTCTGGACGTTTTCCACAAGGATGAAGAAGAGACTCGAGACGACGGAGATGTGGTTCTAGAGAAGGATGCTGAGGATTTCGCGGACTGAGCGTGTGAGCAACGATGTAGTCCTAGAGAGGATGCAGACATGGAGGAGACTCATGCTTAAAATCAGGAAGAGGCAACTGAGGTTTTTCTAGGACTCATAATGAGGAAAGAGGGCCTTGAGAATCTGATACTCACGGGTCGAATATAGGGAAAGAGAGACAAGGGATAGCAGCGCGTGACAGTCCTGGCAGGCTTGAGCAGATGGATGACAGAACGTGGTCTGGGGGAGATAGCAGAGGGAATGAACTTGTTCAGAGCTGCAAGGGATAGAGGGGGGTGAAGAGCCATGATCGCCTACGCCCTGAAAGGACATAGCACAAAAAAGAAAGAACCAAAATTCGAGGAAAGAAGATTCGGTACATTTATTATTTTTCTCTCCATTTATCTGGATGTTCAAAACGCACACTATATATATATATATATATATATATATATATATATATATATATATATATATATATGTAAACACATATGGTTTACTCATTCTTTATCTTATTATTCTGTCTGATTCCGATCCCTATTTGAACTACATTGTGGTCGAATGTCTTGTCATACCCCATAATATAATTTTCTATTTCAATGGCTGACAGGAAAATGATGCTTTTTTTTATAACCCAAAATATTAGGAACAACAAAATATAACAAAACACAGTTAAAAATATTTTAAAACACAACAATATTCATTTTTATTGTCACTGACCAGGATACAGCAGGACTGAGTTAGATAAACAATTCACTCTCTACAGATTGTGTATTGTCCAGCAGCCATAATGTTGTCTCCAACTACCCTTTTTCTGTAAAGAGTCACTGATTCATTAGGGAAGAGTTGTCTCCCCTAACATCTCCGCTTTTTAGTCCTCTGTTCCTATGACTTGTTTCTGGAATTTATTTGCAGTTTATAGGGTTTTCTTCGAAGTTTATACAATTTCCTTAGTACATGTTTAGGTGGAGTCCCTGGATTATTCTTTGGTAGTATGTAGTTTATGTAACTGTCGTGTTCCTGGATTCCAAGTTTCAAAATATTAGACGGATTTTCCGATGTTCGTCTTTCTGTAAAAATTCGTTTTGGAAAATGTCTATCCATCTATTTTACCACGAAGCAATAATTTCTTCGTCGTAATGGAACTCCGTTTTGTTGTTAGCGATGTTATGCACAGAATTTGTGTTCAAATGCCTTCCTTCTTTTAAAATTTCCAGTTGGTGGTTGAATTGTTGATTGAACTGTTGGGTTTTCATGGTCAACAACTGCTGTTGTGACATTTGGAACTCTTATTATTGTTGATTCAATATCTCTTTCACTGTGTCTGGTCATATAGCCATTTTTTGTGAGTTTTTGCTTATCTCATCCTCGACGCCAAAAATTTGTTGTGACCCAAAATATTAGTAACAACAAAATATAACAAAACACAGTTAAATATATTTTAAAACACAACAATATTCATTTTTATTCTCACCGACTACGATACAGCAGGATTGGGTTGGATAAACAATTCACTGTCTACATGTGCTGTATTGTACAGCAGCCATGTTGTTGTCTCCTAATAACCTTTTTCCGTGAAGAGTCAATGTTTCGTTAGGGGAGAGTTGTCTCCCCTCACAGTGTTCATACTGACCTTCTCGATGTGTGACATTGTCAATGAAAGTGAATAAACTGAATACAGTACAAGTGCTTTGTATCATCGTATTACTTGTTCTTCTATTTTTCCTATTACTTTTTGGTAGGTGGGCGTCACAGGATGTTCGGACCACCCTTTACATTTGAATACAATTCACAATTTTACTATCTCTCATATCTCCAACATCCCGTAACAACAAGACAATACGTAATACTCATTTTGTTGTTTCCGCATCTTGCTCTTTCTCATTTTCTACAAGTATGCTTGTGTGTATGAATGTTAGGATGTTCATAACCATTAAACCAGAGTTATAACCTCAGCCTAAACCCGTTAAAAATAATTATATGTTGCGCTACGCGGTCTTTCTAGATTCTAGTGGTCCCACTGTAATTCCTCAGTAGGGGCCCCTACGCTGCATCAAAGACAGACAATTTATCTCCGGTTTCTCTTTTCTCATTTTATATTAGGAAGGAAATCGTTCCGTAGAAGTAGTGAAAGAAAGAAAGAAAGAAAGAAAGAAAGAAAGAAAGAAAGAAAGAAAGAAAGAAAGAAAGCAAGCTATCGTCTTCACGGTCTTGACTCGTATTCTTCCTAGAAGAAAAATAACGTAAAGAAGTCTAGTAGAGAATGGCCAGGAGGTCTATCGACTTCTCTACTGCCTCAAATGAACTGCCCGTTTTCGCGTGTTTCTCTCATAAACTTAGAAAAAGAACATCCATCACTGTCAAAGTTTCACGCTCACCAGAGTCAAACCCCCAATTTAGTTTGCGTTGTTTCAGGCCAAAGTTCAAACCAGTACGGTAGGAGCTGAAATTACAATAACATAATCATTTTACCGTTTTCGTCTAAACGACGTATTCTGTAACACATTAAAAAACATAATACTAGTCCGAACTGGGAGTAAGCAGGAAACAAGTCCAGCCATCAACCAAAATCATAGATAAATATAAGCAGATTTATTGAGAAATAACACCATGTTTGGCATTTATCTTATTGATAGATACTAAACATACCAAGTTCTCAATATGTAATTAACACAGTCCTGTATATGAAAATAAACTACATCTGTCAGCATAACTTTTGATCGGGAGATTAGAAGTTTTGAGGGAGGGTAGAAGCATCTTTTAATTGCTGTTGTTTCCAGGTGCACCCTGATTCAGAGTGGTAGCACCTGTTAGGTTCCCAGCTATATGCAAATAATGAATCCCCAAACAAAACAAAACAAAAAAACATGTAAGAATAAAAATACTTATTTGTAGTAAAATGACCAGCAATATATTTAATAGCAAAATAACAGACAATACACGTTATCTTTGATTGAAGGCAATTGCGTTAAAAATATATTTAGTTGAAGCCATAAAATTGTTCAAAATCTAGATTTCGGCATTAAACATAAAGGTTGATATGCCGTTAAACAAACTTAACCAAACAACCAACATGAAGGAACTCTTTCAAGATATTAATCTATATAATAACCTACAGTTTCTTAAAGAAATCAAACTGTATTCAAATATCTAACTTAAACAAAACTCTACATAAAACACACATATCACCGCCTCCAGTAATCATATCCACATAAACGTGTCTATGCACAAAAGTTGGGTACCATCTACCATGTATTCAATTGTGAAATATATATATGAAGAAATATAGTCTTAAGGTGTGCTATATTTGTTGGATAGTGCTCAATATCTGAGATAGAGCGTGTGTAAATATAAAAGTGAACATTGAAGTCAACACTTAAAGGCGACAGTCTGTTTCATGCTAAATGCAATCGTCAGCCTACGAGTGCTGTTATTTTTCTCGGCTATTTTTATATACGGGTCAGTGGTGCATTGTGGGTAGTCTATTTTAACGGTTATTTTACCGGAAGTCGTTTAGTTGTTTATTTATTTATTTGGGTTAAATTATTTTTTCTGTCATTATTTACTTTTATTTTTTATTTTTATTTTTTATTTTTATTTCTTGTCTTATATATTTATTTTCATTTTTATTTCAATCGATGTTTTTATTAACGTAGTAAAAATTTGTTTATATCGCTTATTTAATATTTTGTTTGTATTTGAGAAGATAATTAAAGCTGTTTATTTTTTAAATAGTATGCTTTTTTTTCCATAATTCTCCATAGTTTTACGACACGAGTTTCTGGGCTCGCGACCGTCATCAGGTAAAGGGTAGAGATTTCCACATATTATTAAAAGTAATTAATTTTTTTCTCCTTTATGTTATTCGATGTTAAATATTCTCGATATGAGACATTCTCTTTCTATATGTCAGTAATCTGAATTTCTTTCTTGAACTTACACACACAAAAATATATATATATATATATATATATATATATATATATATATATATATATATATATATGCATGTTTCATTAAAACGACAGACAAGGTACTACGGTTGAGCTTTTATTTAATTTTTCTTGTGTTCTGACAAGAGCTTTCTTTTCTGGACAAAGGGTGTGTAAGAACTGTCCGAATGCTTTATATTTCCGAGCGCTTTCGGCTATAACTTTAGCCATTATCAGCTTAGTTGAGTATGTGCGTTCTGTGTATGTACCAGTGTGACATTCGGACAGTTCTTACACACCTTTGTCCAGAAAAGAAAGCTCTTGTCAGAACACAAGAAAAATTAAATAAAAAGCTCAGCCGTAGTACCTTGTCTGTCGTTTTTATGAAACATGCATAAAGGAAGGATTGCTGCCGAAATATACAACTATATATATATATATATATATATATATATATATATATATATTTGACTGTATTTTGCTTTGGGTCATTATAACAATTCAGATGCACTATCTGGATCTCAAGAACGTGGATGATGGAATATATTCGTACTTACTCTGGTACAATTTTTTATGTGGAATATTTTATTTACATTATCTACATTGTTTGGATTATTGTCCTCGTTTTTATTGCCATATTCACAACGTTTCGACAGTTGTACGCTCC